ATATATATATATTTATGTATGTATAAGAATCGTCTAAAAGACTGGTGGTCCAATCACATCTGTCTCTTCGATTGTTAAACGATTCACTGGATTAATTCTAACGGTATTACTTTCAATTCCTACTAAAGACGATAATACATGGTTATTCTACGACCATGTTCCTCGTGTTTCGTCATTAATTGCTCGCTAGTCACAAATGCTGTACATAAAATTAATCGATATGCCCGGTTAAACAGTTAGTAGGCCGTCTCTTACCTGTCGTGCACTCGATATCCGGCGATCCACTGGTACCGGGTGGACACCTGCACACGAATATCGCACCGTCCCGTATGCACTCGGCTCCCTTACCGCATCCGTTCGTGCGACAATCGAAGCTCTTTTCCGCGCTACCTGTGCTCGCGATCGAGAAAATTGATCGTGCGTGAGATTTTTTCCTTTTTTTTTTTTCTTTTTTTTTTTGAAAATATCTATCGAAAAAACTTCCATTGTACGATAATATTCGAGAGAAAAAGAAATACATCCTTTCGCAGCTTTGAATGTAATGGTGATGGTAATTTTAAATTCGGTTATCAAAAATAACAAAATCCAATCGCATACTCACAAGCGTGCATAGGATCCCCGGAAGGATAATTGGACGGGCAGTAGCATTGCGGTTGATTCTTGTAAATCCTGCAAGCGGCGTTCGCGCCGCAACGCATATCCTTGCACAGTTCCCCTCCGTCGCAGATGCAGGCTTGGTGAGGATCGCCGTGGCATCCGGGGTCGCAGGTGCACTCAAATCCGTTCAATGTCTCCCTGCACTTCGCGTTCACGCCGCAAGGTCTTCTTAAACACTCGTCCCCACCTTCGTAAACGTATTTCAAATTATTATGAAAAATGAGATTCATCTCTTGTCCTTCTTGTCTTTCAATTACCTTTCTTGCAGTTGATCTGAGGATTTCCATAGTGGCCGGGCGGGCAGGAGCACTGCGCCTTCCTGTTAACCACCCTGCATTGCGCGTTGAACCCGCACACGCCATGCTGGAGGCAGGGATTCGTGCACACCCCGTCCTCGCTGCACCGTTTGTTCGCCTCGCAGTCCTCGTCCCGATGGCACTCCAGTTGATAGCACTCTTGGCTTGGCTCCCCTTGGAACCCTTCCGGGCACAGGCAAACCGCCCTGTGATTCGACACGCGGCACAGAGCATTGATTCCGCATGGCGACCCGTTTGCCGAACACGGATCCTCGCATTGGCCATTGACGCATGATAGGGAGGATGGACAGTCGGAATGTGTGCGGCAACCGATCAGGCACAACCCCTCCTCGCAAACGTACCCCTGTGTTCGTAGTATAAAAAAAATCGGAATATAAAAAAATCGTTACACGACAATTTTTCAATCTCGAGACGTCTCTTTCTTTCGTTCTTTTGATTCTTGAAAAATGAATGGAAAGAGTGGTGTAACAACCTTTGGACAATAGTTGTTGACGTCACACTTGATGCGACACTTTCCCGAATGGCACACTTCACCGCACGAGCATTGATCCTGGCCGTGGCAACTCTTCGCGCAGAAACCGATCTCGTCGCACTCGTCGCAGGCGCCGTCGCAGGGGATCATGGATTTCGAGCAACTGATTAATGCATTCCCGTAATAATTGGCCGGACAACTGCATTGCGCCACGTGATTCGCCACGCGGCAACCCGCGCATTCGCCGCAGGCTTTGCCACCCTCGCAAGGATCTTTAGTAAAAAAAAGTAGAATTAAGTTTATCGAAACAAAAGAAATTATTCGGTCCCCATTATTCGGTCATTGAGCATCGTGACACTTACTTTTACATTTGTTGTTTATGCAAGACTCGTCATTTGGGCAAGTGTTATCGCTACGACATCCGATATCGCATAATCTGTTCTGACAGATCTGATTGGCCACGCAGTGGTCGTCGCTGTTGCATATAGCCTTGCATATTCCCCCGTCGCATCGTTCGTCGCTCAAGCAATTAGCGTCACTGCAAGATAATTTACACCTTACATCTTACGAACCCTCTCCTCGAGGAGGAGATCTTCGATAAACCTAACGACCCTTGCCTTCTACACGTGGCGTAACAAGATCTTCCGTAACAAGTCTGACCGGTCGCGCATTCCTGTTCCGTGTTGCAGGGCAAGAACGCCTGTTTGCAGCCAATCAGGGGATCCCCTATCAACGGTGCAGGGCACGAGCACACCTTCTGATGACCCACCACCGTGCACTTGGCGTTCGCTCCGCACACATCCGGAAGGGAGCAAGGATCTGCGAGAGACGATCGAATTAATCCAATCACATCTTTCCTCCGTTCGTCGAACGATTATTTATTTTTATTTATTTATATTTTTATCTATATTTTTATTTATATTTTTATTTATATTTATATTTTTATTTATATTTATATTTTTATTTACATTTTTATTTTTATTTCTATTTTTATTTATATTTTTATTTATATTTATATTTTTATTTATATTTTTATTTTTATTTCTATTTTTATTTTTATTTTTATTTATATTTTTATTTCTATTTATATTTTTATTTATATTTTTATTTCTATTTTTATTTATATTTTTATTTATATTTTTATTTATATTTCTATTTTTATTTATATTTTTATTTATATTTTTCGAATTTAAATTATTCCATCTTTCCACGTGTCACTTGCAAATTCGCATCATTTCGAATTCTTTCTTACCTCGACACTGGTTGTTCAAACAGGCGAAATTCTCTTGGCACTCGACGTCAGCGCGGCATCCGATCACGCACACCAATCCCTCGCAGATTTCTCCGCTTCGACAATCCTCGTCCCTTCTGCACAACGATTTGCAAATTCCCGAGGGATCGCACCGCTCGTTGCTCAGGCAATTCAAATCCGTGGAGCAGACGGGGGTGCAAACGTTCCCTATGCAAGCTGTCCCTGTTGCGCAGTCCCTGTTCGCTTGGCAGACGGGGCCAGGCGATCTGAGGCAAGCAACTTTGGCGGTTGGATTCGGTATGAAGCCTGATGGGCACGAACAGGTGGCCCGTTGATTGAACACCGTGCACTTGGCGTTCGGCCCGCAAGGGGTCGCCTCGCAAGGATTGATGCACTTGTTCGTGATGCACGCCTCGTTGGCGTTGCAGTCCTCGTCCGCCCGGCAACCGAACGTGCACATGTTGTGCAAGCATATGTGGCCCAGGAAACAGTCGTTGTCCAACCTGCAGGTGAGCAAACAGTTTCCACGAACGCATTTCTCGTTGAACGCGCACTCGTTGTCGCTGGAGCAGATCGGAAGGCACACGTTGTCGCGGCATGTATTCCCATCGTTGCAGTCGTTTGTGTCTCTGCAGGACACTGGCACTGAGACAATGCAAAACAATGAAAATTATTCGTTAAAGTACTCGATAATTTAAAGAATTTTTTGATCAAATTAAAGTTGATAAAATTTAATTCAAAAATTTTGGATACTAATTAGATTGGAAATTTTTATTTTTCTCTTTATTTTTCTCTAACTCTCGAAAAATTCAATTCCATTCTTCTTTATATATATAAAGAAAAAGTTTCGAAATAAAATTCTCACATCTCACGCATTCCACTTCCGAATTGCCGGTGAAGCCAGGTGGGCAGCTGCACTGCTTAATGTGACTCCTCACGTCGCATTCCGCATTTATTCCACACGCGGCTCTCACGTTGCAAGGATCAAGGCATTGTCCGTTCAAGCACACGTCTGACAAGTTGCATTCCTCGTCCGATTGGCAGGACGCTAGAAGAATTTCAAATTCACGATCGAAGAGGAGATTTAAACCAGAGCTAGACAATACTCACGTCGACAGATGCCCTCGTAACAGTAGGTATTGGGCGAGCAGTCCGCGGCTGACGAACAAATAACCGGTTTAGGCCGACACCCTATACTCAGATTGTTCGGATCGCCCTCGTAATCGGGCCGACACTGACAGGCCCCCGCGTGATTAGTGGCCGCGCAATCCGCGTTCGGCCCGCACTGTGTGCGCGAGCAAACATCTGGAATATCGGGATCACAAGACAGTCAAATTGATCGACACAGATTTCTTGTTAAACCTTTTGTTAAATCTTTCTCTCGAGACGTAGCATCGATATATAGTTTTTATCATTTGTTTCTCACGTGATTCCTCGATAATAAATATCACCAGAAAAATGCCGTAAACGAGGCCGCTGACTTTCTCGAGTACTGTGCACACTTTTGACTCGTTCAATGGGAGTGCCTCGGCGGAGAAATAGCGAAAGGGTTAAAATTCTATAACCTTTATTAACTACGGGCGACTATAGTCGCTCTACGTAAAATATCACTGACGTACTATGAGCTATAGTTGCTCTACGATTGGAGTTATTATAACAAAAATCACCAAAAAAAAATGCCGGCCATTGACGATCTTTCTCGAGTACACTTTTTGGCTCGTTCAATGGGAGTGCCTCGGCGGAGAAATAGCGAAAGGGTTAAAATTCTATAACCTTTGTTAACTACAGGCGACTATAGTCGCTCTAAAATGACGTACTATGGGCTATAGTTGTTTTACGAGCGATTGGAGTTATTGAACATCGAGTATCTTTCTTTGGAAACGTAGCATCGGTATTTCGTTTTTATTTCTCACGTGATTCCTCGATAACGCGGCCGCTGACTATCTTTCTCGAGGACTGTGCACACTTTTGGCGCTGTGATTGGTTCAACGGGAGTGCCTCGGCGGAGAAATAGCGAAAGAGTTAAAACTCTATAACCTTTGTTAACTACGGGCGACTATGTAAAATGCCATTGACGTACTATGAGCTATAGTTGCTATACGATTGGAGTTATTATAACAAAAATCACCAAAAAAAATGCCGACCATTGACGATCTTTCTCGAGTACTGTGCACACTTTTGGCTCGTTCAATGAGAGTGCCTCGGCGGAGAAATAGCGAAAGGGTTAAAATTGTATAACCTTTGTTAACTACAGGCGACTATAGTCGCTCTAAAATGACGTACTATGGGCTATAGTTGTTTTACGAGCGATTGGAGTTATTGAACATCGAGTATCTTTCTTTGGAAACGTAGCATCGGTATTTCGTTTTTATTTCTCACGTGATTCCTCGATAACGCAGCCGCTGACTATCTTTCTCGAGGACTGTGCACACTTTTGGCGCTGTGATTGGTTCAACGGGAGTGCCTCGGCGGAGAAATAGCGAAAGGGTTAAAACTCTATAACCTTTGTTAACTACGGGCGACTATAGTCGCTCTACGTAAAATATCACTGACGTATTATGAGCTATAGTTGCTCTACGATTGGAGTTATTATAACAAAAATCACCAAAAAAAATGCCAGCCATTGACGATCTTTCTCGAGTACACTTTTGGCTCGTTCAATGGGAGTGCCTCGGCGGAGAAATAGCGAAAGGGTTAAAATTCTATAACCTTTGTTAACTACGGGCGACTATGTAAAATGCCATTGACGTACTATGAGCTATAGTTGCTATACGATTGGAGTTATTATAACAAAAATCACCAAAAAAAAATGCCGACCATTGACGATCTTTCTCGAGTACACTTTTGGCTCGTTCAATGGGAGTGCCTCGGCGGAGAAATAGCGAAAGAGTTAAAATTCTATAACCTTTGTTAACTACAGGCGACTATGTAAAATGCCATTGACGTACTATGAGCTATAGTTGCTCTACGATTGGAGTTATTATAACAAAAATCACCAAAAAAAAATGCCATTGACGATCTTTCTCGAGTATTGTGCACACTTTTGACTCGTTCAACGGGAGAAATAGCGAAAGGGTTAACGAGCAACACAATTTGGGAGGAAGTTATATATATAACAAGTTCTCCGATCAAAAATTTTCTCATCGATTTAAATTAAATCTCGATGAATTTTTCTCAAATTTTTAGAATTTTTAGAATTCTCCGTGTGTACGTCGAAATTAAAAATTGTATCGTGAACGTTTTTAAAGATAGATTCGCACACGTACCGAAACATTTGGGCACATTGTTCACATTGATACACTTGGCGGTGAGCGGGCAATCCTCGTCCTGTAGACACTCTACCGGTGGTTGGCAGCCACTGTTGTACGGATCCCCAACCATTCCCTGTTGACAGTGACATTTGTAAGAGCCCCTTGAGTTTTCGCACATGGCGCCAGGGGCGCAGGGTTCGTTGAGGCAATAATCGATCAATTGGCATCCGCGGGTGGGCTCTCCCGTGTAACCTGGCTGACACGTGCAGATCTGAAGAAGACGCGAATATGTCACTTTCCATCGTATAATTTCCACGACTCGTACGAACGATCGATTCGAACCTGAACGTGCTTCTCAGCCGTGCAAATTGCGTTAACCCCGCAAGGATTACGGGCGAGACAAGCGATTCTACACTTGTGGGTGTCGCAAATCTTCTCCCCGGTGCAATCTTCGTTCGCCTCGCACTCGATAGGCTGGCAACCGATCTTATCGTCCTTTGGATTACCAAAGAATCCAGATTTGCAGGAGCAAACCGCGACGTGGTTGTCCGCCTTGCATCCCGCGTTCCGCCCGCAGAGGAGCAGGTCGCACGCTCTGCGACACTCCGCCTGGCCAATGTTGTTCTTCACGCATCTCTCGTCGTCGAGGCAATCGTCGTTCGACGCGCAACGCAGTTCCTGCACGCAAATGTTGTTGTGACAGTATTGGTATTCGGGGCAGCTGGAGTTGCTCTTGCAAGTCGGTTGGCAGAGGCCGTTGATGCACAGCTGGTCGCCTATGCAGTCTCTCGTGCTACCGCACAACGCTACGGAAAGGACAGAGAATGTTAAATTCGATCGATTCGAAGGTTGATCGTTTTCTGCATTTACTCGTACCGGTGCATATCCCTCCGTTGCAAGCCGAGCCTGTGGCGCATTGGGAGTCCGATTTGCAGTATTGGACAGGTGTGCAGCCCAGATTGGGGTCGCCTGTGCCACCAGGTTGACACGTGCACACCGCGCTGTGGTTGAGAGGAGAGCAGTCCGCCCCTTGGCCGCAAACGTTGGAGAGAGAGCAGGGATCGACGCATTTGTGATCGAAGCAGGCGTCGGAAGGACCGCAGTCGCTGTGGTAATTGCATTCCAAATGGACGCACTCCGACTGGTGGAGAAGGTTTAAAGAATAGAAACGTACGATCGAAACGAAAATTAATATCTATTCTAATTTTAATCGGAAGAAGATATCGTTAAGAAGACGAGGCTCACCGCTGGATTGCCGGTGGTCTGGCCGGGACATCTGCAAAATGGTACGTGGTCGCGGACGAAACAATCGGCGTTTCTTCCGCAAACGGACGTGGACACGTCGCAGGGATTCGTGCACCTGTTGTCGATGCAAGCGGCAGAATTAGGGCAGTCGAAGTCGGTGAAGCAGTCCCCTGGCTGTTTGCAACCAGACTTGAACGGATCTCCGACCAATCCGTGGGGACAAACGCAGGTGTAAGAGCCTTCCGTGTTTTGACAACTGGAAATAAAACGATATTCCCATCCAACTCTCAAAGAAGTTAAAAAGAAACGTTTTATATGGAGATCATTGACTTACACAGCGGAAGAGTGACAAGGGTTTTCCAAACACTCGTCAACGTCCTCGCAGATATCGGCTGCCAGCTCGAAACCGGGATAACATTTGCATATTCCAGCGTGGTCGGACGCTATGCAGTTACCGTATCCGCAATTCATTTGATTGCAAGGGCCTTGGGCAAATAAATTTTCTCGTAGAAATATGGAAATCTGCTAATCTTCTAAATTAACGCAAATCACTCACTGGCGCATTTATTAGCGTCCTGATTGCAATACTTGTCGGTTGGGCAGTCGTTGTTGGAGAGGCACTCCACTTTGAAACATCCCGAGGAATCGCCGATGTAGCCCGGCTGGCATTGGCACGCCGCGGCGTGGTCGAAGACGGAGCAAACGGTGTTGAGGCCGCAGTCGACCAGGGAGCAGGGGTCGGTGCAATTGTGCTGGACGCATGCCTGCGAGTCGGGGCAATCCGCGTCCAACGCGCACCGATGGGGGATCGCGCAACCTGTCCCCACGGGATCACCGGCCGTTCCTTGTGGACACACGCAGCGGTAAGATCCGCGTAGATTCACGCAATCCGCGCTCGAGTGGCAGGGATGATCGTCGCATTCGTTGATGTCCAAACAGTGTTCCGGCCCAGCTATAAACCCGTGGCCGCATCTGGACGCGAATTTTATTGTTTATATAATAGTTCGATAAATTCAAATCGATAGAATTTAAATTAATTAACCGTTTGTATTTGGAAAGGAAAGTTTAAGTTTAAGTTTCCGGTTCTATAAACCCGTGGCTGCATCTGACGCGAATGAATTTTATTGTTTATATAATAATATATAATAATTCAAATCGATAGAACTTAAATTAATTTAAATTATTTATATAATTAATTTAAATTAATCGTTTGTGTTTGGAAAGGAAAGTTTAAGTTTCCGGTCCAACTATAAATTCGTGGCCGCATCTGGACGCGAATGAATTTTATTGTTTATATAATAATTCAAATCGAGAATTTAAATTAATTAACCGTTTGTATTTGGAAAAGAAAGTTTAAGTTTAAGTTTCAATTATAAACCCGTGGCTGCATCTGACGTGAATGAATTTTATTGTTTATATAATAATATATAATAATTCAAATCGATAGAATTTAAATTAATTAACCGTTTGTATTTGGAAAGGAAAGTTTAAGTTTAAATTTCCGGTTCAGCTATAAACCCATGGCCGCATCTAAACGCGAATGAATTTTATTGTTTATATAATAATTCGATAAATTCAAATCGATAGAATTTAAATTAATTAATTTGTATTTGGAAAGGAAAGTTTAAGTTTCCGGTCCAGCTATAAACCCGTGGCTGCATCTGGACGCGAATTTTATTGTTTATATAATAATTCGATAAATTCAAATCGATAGAATTTAAATTAATTTAAATTATTTATATAATTAATTTAAATTAATCGTTTGTATTTGGAAAGGAAAGTTTAAGTTTAAATTTCCGGTTCAGCTATAAACCCGTGACCGCATCTAGACGCGAATGAATTTTATTGTTTATATAATAATTCGATAAATTCAAATCGAGAATTTAAATTAATTAACCGTTTGAATTTTGTTTATATAATAATATGTATAATTGTTATATATATATTATTGTTTATATAATAATATATATAATAATTCAAATCGATAGAATTTAAATTAATTAATTTGTATTTGGAAAGGAAAATTTAAGTTTACGTACTTGCACTTGTTGTTGATGCACACCTCGTTGTCGTTGCAACCTACGTCGGAAGTGCAGCCCACCTCGCACACGCCATCGATGCACAGTTCCCCTGGGAGGCAGTTGCTGTCGCTGTAGCACAGCTTCACGCATATTCCGTTCTTGCAACGTTCACCCTCGGCACAGTTGTTGGGCTCGGTGCATTGGCATTGGCAGAATCCGGACACGCACACGTGCTGACTGGGACAATCCTGGGGACCCTCGCATATGTTCGGCACTCTGACGCAGCCCTGTTGGGGCGTGGGATTCCCGTGGAAGCCAAGGGGACAGGTGCAGGAGGTCGCGTGATCGGTGATGCTGCAGATCGCGTTTGGACCGCAAACATCCTTCCTTTTGCACGGATCTGGAACGGAAGAAAACCGCGGTCGATTTTAGAAAGTTTCTTCAAATTTTCAATTCTCTCCTTCCCCCGTTCATCTTCTCTCCCCCCTTTCGATACCTTGACACTTGTTGTTGATGCAAGACTCCGCGGGCGGGCAATTCTTGTTGCTTCGACATCCCAAAATGCACGCTCCGTTGACGCACGTCTGATCGGTCTGGCACTGCGAATGGGTGACGCACGGAACCACGCACTTGTTGCTCGCGCACTTTTCACCCGCCGAACAATCGGCGGCCGTTCTGCACACAGCTACAACCACGAATGAAACTCACCACCAAATCTGAGATCCAAGATCCAGAGAGAAGCAACGAAGGGAAACTCACCTATACACTGCCCCTCGAGGCATACGCTCTCCTCGCAGTCGGCATCGACGTTGCAATAATTAGCGGCGCGGACGCAGCCATCCTGCGGCCCCTTCGACGAAGGGACGAATTTATGGATGCACTCGCAGCTCGGTTGGCCGTTCACAACGTCGCAAACGGAGTTGGGCCCGCAGGCGTTCTCGCACGGGTTGGCGCATCGATGGTTGTGGCAGATGGAGTGCACCGGGCAGTCCTTGGCCGTGGCGCAGTAGCCCTCCGGTTGGCAGCCCTTCGCGTAAGGGTCCCCGACGAAGTTGGACGGGCACTGGCACACGGGGTTGTTGGACGGGCCGGGGACGCAGACGGCCGTCTCGTGGCAGGGATTCGGATGGCAGGCCTCGATCGCGACGCACTCCACTTCGGCGACCGGATTCGGTTTCAAGCCGGGCGGGCACTGGCATATCGCTCTGTGATCGTCCGCTATGCAAACCGCGTTCGCCCCGCAAGCGTCCCCGTCGCAGGCGTCGTAACACGAGTGGGTCAACCTGTTGCAAAGCTGCGCGGGCGGGCAGTCGACGTTGTATACGCAGGGGACCGGTTTGCAACCGTGGACCGCGTCGTTGGGATCGCCCGCGTACAGGCCTGGGGGGCATTCGCAGTTGGCCACGTGATTGTGAACCACGCACAGGGCGTTGGGCCCGCACGAGACGAAGTCGCACACCGGTTGGCACGCGAGAAGCCCCTCCTTTCCGCCCCTGCACGTGTGGTCCTCGGGACACTCGGCGTCCGTCGAGCACCGATCCCTCCTACGCGTCTGGCAACCGTGGCGATCGTTCGGGTTGCCGGCGAAACCGGGCAGGCACTCGCACCGGCCGCGGTGCCTCTCCGCCACGCATCGGGAGTTGGGGGCGCACGTGAAGCTCGGGCACACCGAGGCGCACTTCAACACGCCGAGAGGGTCGGGCCTGCACGCTTCCGCCCCGTGGCAATCGTCGTCCGATATGCAATCGGGGACCGACGGCTTCTCGCAGGACGACGATACGGGGTTCCACTCGTAACCGTCCTGACACTTGCACGTGGCGCGGCCTGGGATCGCGTCCGGCTCGCACTTCTGGTGAGCGCCGCACACCACTTTGCTGCACGGATCGACGCACTCGCGGCCACTGGCGTCCTCGAGGGGGACGCAGAACGAGCCCCTCGCGCAGTCGGTATCGTCGCGGCAGCCCGGCGTTATCACCGACTTCAACGGCTGGCAACCCTCCACCAGGTTGCTCGGATTTCCCGCGTATCCGTCCACGCACAAACACGAGGACGCGTGGTTCTGGGTGACGCACAACGCGTTCGGGCCGCACTGCAACTTGCTGCACGCGTCCACGCACTTTCTCACCCCTTTCCCCACTTGGAAGCAGATCTGTTGGGGCTCGCAGTCGAGGTCGTTGGAGCAGTGGCCGTGAAGACGGCAACCCTTGGTGAGGTCGTTCGGGTTGCCCGTGTAGCCGGGCGGGCACACGCAGGCCCCCTCCTGGCACACCGATCTGGGGCCACATTTCACGTCGCTGCAACGATTCACGCACTTGCCGGCCACGCAGCTGTAGTCGAGCGGGCAGGGGATCGAGTCGGTGCAGGCGCAGGTCGAGGGGTCGGCGCAGGGGCCCACTTGCACCTGCTGGCAACCGACGAAAGGATTGCCGAAGAAGTTTTCTTTGCAGCGACAGTCGTAGCTACCGATCGTGTTGATGCACACCGCGTTGCCCCCGCAAGCGTTCCCATTGCACTCGTTGATGTCTTGATAACCAATTTCAATATTTTTATTATTTCAACATTTTTATCGACAAGATAAAATTTGAACGGAAACGATTTATTTGGAACGAAAGGGAATACGAACCGTGGCACCGAATGTAAGGATTTCCAGCGTATCCGGGCGGGCACAGGCACTCGACGGCGTTCGGCCCGGCGTTGCAATGGGCGTCCTTTCCGCACACCGCGGTGGAACAGTCGGACTTTTGTTGCGCTCCGCAACCGTGATACGGGTTCCCACTTGTGCCAGGATTGCACACGCACTTCGATTCTTGCAACGTGTACTCGCAATGGGCGTTCGAGCCGCACGCGGGATCGCAGGCGGGTGGTTGAATCGCTGTTGCGCGAAGGAAGGGTAAAATCAATTTATAGTAGACAAAGAAATTGTTCGAAAGGTGTACTGGATGGTCGATAGCTTACGGGGCATGCAAAGGAGATCCGGATTCCCAATGAAGTACGGATTGCACACGCATTTGTTGGTAGCTGGGTCGCAAGAGGCGCCCACGCCGCACACCACGCCCTCGCATCGGCGCTTGCACCTCCCGCTTATGCACACGCTTGGCTCCGCGCAAGGGACTTCCGGGGAACAGATATCCGGTTGGCATTGGCCGCCAGGGAACGGATTCCCCATGAAACCTTCGATGCACTTGCACGTTGGCCCGCTGTAACTCACGATGCACTGGGCCCCGGAACCGCACACGAACCCATCGCATTCTATTTGATTGACAATTATAACATATATAAATTATAATATAATATATATATATATGTAATATATAATATAATATAATGTAATATAATATAATATAATGTAATATAATATAATATAATGTAATATAATATAATATAATGTAATATATAATATAATATAATATAATATAATATATAAATATAATATATATTATATAATATATAATATATATAATATAATATATAAATTATAATATATAATATTTTGAATAATTTCGTCCTCGATCGAACTCGAATCATGGACGAGATATTTATGAAAGCAGGATTGGGTGTAACTTACGTGAAACGCATTCGTTGTTCTTCCCCTCCACGAATCCGATCACGCATCGGCACCACGCCGCGTGCTTGTCCGGCTCGCAGTAAGCGTTCGGCCCGCAAGGTATGTTGTCGCAAGGGTTCACGCATCTGCCGTTCACGCAGGCGAACAGATTGTCGCAGTCGTCGTTCGAGGCGCACTCGTTCTTGGCCACGGCTCCGGTACAACCGCCCCCGTAAGGATCGCCCACCGTCCCCCTCGGACATTCGCAGATGTGGTCGCCTTTCGTGTTGATGCAGTAGGCGCCGTGCCCGCAAGGATTGTTCGCGCACTCGTTCACGTCCACGCAACCGTGTTGGGGATCCCCCTCGTAACCGGCCTCGCACATGCACCTCGGGGGATCGCTCGGCGTGCACTTGGCGTTTATACCGCATGGAAACCTGTCGCAAGGATCTGAAAATAATTGAGGCGACGTTAAAATATAATCGTGATAATCACGATTCGTTGAAATTGGAATCGAATATCGTTGAAGTTTTTTAGATTCTATGTTTTTTTCACTTTTTATTGAAAATATTTGAGACGACGTTAAAATATAATCGTGACAATTACGATTCGTTGAAATTGGAATCGAATATCGTTGAAGTTTTGTTTTCTAGATTCTATATTTTTTTTCACTTTTTACTGAAAATATTTGAGACGACGTTAAAATATAATCGTGACAATTACGACTCGTTGAAATTGGACTCGAACATCGTTGAAATTTTATTTTTTCGCGATTCTATATTTTTTTCATTTTTTACTAAAAATATTTAAAATATAATCGTGACAATCACGACCTGTTGAAATTGGACTCGAATATCGTTGAAGTTTTGTTTTTTAGATTCTATATTCTTTTTCACTTTTTACTGAAAATATTTTAGGCGATGTTAAAATATAATCGTGACAATCACGATCTGTTGAAATTGGACTCAAACATCCATTGAAATTTTATTTTTTAGATTCTATGTTTTTTTTCACTTTTTACTGAAAATATTTGAGACGACGTTAAAATATAATATAATATAATCGTGATAATGACTCGTTGAAATTGGACTCGAATATCGTTGAAATTTTGTTTTTTCGTGAGTCTCTGTTTTTTTTTCTCTGCGAAGAAAATTCTTACTTTTTATTTTTTATTAAAATAATTTTTTATCAAATATTTGAGGCAATGTTAAAATTGATAATCGCATTGAAATTGGACTCGAATATCGTTGAAATTTTGTTTCTGACGATTCTGTTTCTTTCTTTTTGACTTTTTACCGAAAATATTTGAGGCGATGTTAAAACAACAGGTGATAATCGCGTTGAAACTGGACTCGAATATCGTTGAAATTTTGTTTTTGTTCAATGTTTCTTTTCCTGAGAAGAAACACCTCTTACTTTTGCAAAGGTTTGCATCGAGGGGATCGGTGTAAAACGGCGGCGGACAGACGCATTCACCAGGCTGGACGCATTTCTCGTTGGCTTTGCACTCGTTGTCGCTCGTGCACCTCTTCTGAGCTGGGGAGCAAAGACCGTTGTACGGATCACCGCCGTAACCGTGCGGGCAGACGCACTGATGCGATCCTGCAAGGTTCACGCACTCTGCCCCGTACCCGCACACTTGATGCCCGACGATACACTCGTTTATATCTAAATCGGAAATAATTTCGATTCCAAGATAAATATGGGCGAAAATTTCGAGCGACGAGGAGGGGGATGAAATTTTCGATACGAACCTTCGCAAGAACCGTCGCTCTTTGTCGTGTACCCTTTGGGGCAAGCGCAGTAGCTGACACCACCAGCGATGGTGATACATTCAGCGCCGCTCGGACACTTCTCACCCTTGGAACAACCGGCCAGCATGCATTTCCCATTCACGATCTTGTACGGGGGCTGGCATTGGCACTCGATGCTGTTGCATTCTGCGATCATTATCGCTCCAATTTAAAATACGATCCACCGCATCGCGATATCATTCTCGATAAAATGATAATCAAATTAAAATAGTAAAAATTAGTAAAAACGATAAAATTAATGGATAATTAAATTCTTCTCGCTATTTTATAGAAGAAAGAGAGAGAAAGGAAAGAATCGTCACCTTCGCAAAGCGAGAATGGGTTTCCATTGAATCCAGGTGGGCACTGGCACTCGTAACTTCCAGGTAAATTTTTACAAATGGCGTTAACGCCGCAAGCAGGCTTGTCCCTCAGCTCCATGCACTCGTTAATATCTCTACACTTTCCGCTCTCGTGATCCCTGGTGTACCCTCTCTGGCATATGCAAACGCTGCTTCCAATGAATTCGTCCTTGATGCACTGCTCCCCGGCAGGGCAGGGGGTGCTCGGCCCGCAAACGTGGGGCGCCTTCGATTCCTGGCAACCGCCGCTGTACGGATCACCCGTCGTACCGCTGGGGCACTGGCAAGAGAACGATCCTGGCTCGTTGTTGCAGATCGCGCCTTGGGGGCAAGGATTAATCGCGCACTCGTCTATGTCCCTGCAACCGCCCTTCACCCCAGGCTTCCCCGTGTAACCACTTCGGCAGAGGCACGTGGCCACGTCGTTGGACAGCATGCAGTGGGCATTCGGCCCGCAGGACAAATCTTCGCACGGATCTAATTAAGAAAATTTATTTAAGAAGACGTTTTATCTTACGTAATAATAATAATAATAATAATAGGGAGGGGAGAGCGCTCACGTCTGCAGTCGTTCCCAACGTTGGGCTCGGGGCACAGACAACGCTTTTGGGGATCGCAAATGGCATTTCCAGGGCAGTCGCCGTCAACCTCGCACGTCACTATGCCGACGCACTTGACGTAAGGGTCAGGGTCCGGAATGGTTCCCTCCGGACAGGTGCACGAGTACGAACCCTCGGTATTGGTGCACGTGGCCCCATGGCCGCAGGTATCTGCCCTCGTGCATTCGTCTACATCTGTTATTCAAATATTCAACGAATTTAATTTAAATTCTTGACGATTTCTTCCATGATGATTTTCAAATGGGGGAATATCTTTAATTCGAAACTATGCATACCCATGCATTGTTTGAAAGCGTTTCCCGAGAATCCTGGCCTGCACTGGCAACTGAACCCGCCCAAAGTGTTGGTGCAGATTGCGTTTTTGCCACAACGTCCCGAAGGGCCGTTTATCGCGTCGCACTCGTTTATATCTGATTCAAAGAAATTAAAATAATATCATCCGCGTGAGATCCATCGATCGTACGTTTATGTCGTTGATGGAAACATTTACCAACGCATCCAGCCGCGATGTCGTTCGGATTGAAGGTCCATCCGTCTTCGCAGATGCAGTAAGCTTCGTGGCCGTCCGCTTTGCAATACGCGTGATCTCCGCAGGTTACTTCGTCGCACGGTGCTACGAGGAAGAAGAAAAAAAGAAGAAAAATCACGTTCATTATATTCTTGTTCTTCTTCTTTCCCGATTCAAATTTTTCTCATTTTTACCTTTACACGGTATATGGGGCGGTGTTCCAACGAAGCCAGATTCGCATTCGCAGTGATAACTGCCCCTCGTGTTGCCGCAGATCGATGCGGGCCCACAGGGGTTCGAAAGACACTCGTCCACGTCCACGCACTCGGCTCCAACCGCTTTGAATCCGTTCTTGCAGAAGCATCGCCCCTCGATGCACTCGGCGTTGTTCACGCAATCGAAGTTCGATTTGCAGAGCGTGGTCACGTCGGTCTAAAAATCGGTGGGAAGGGTCGAGAGTGAAGCAGAAGACGATAAAATTGATGGAAAATATAATCGCAATTTACCTGTTCGCAAGCGACCGTCGGATCGGGATTGGCACTGTATCCCGGTGGGCAGACGCAATTGTAACCAGGATCCTTGTTTTTGCAAATCGCGTTTCTCCCGCAGGGGCTCTCCAACGCTGTGCACTCGTCGATGTCTGAGAAACAATTTCGTACGAGTTTCGAAATTAATCGACGAGAAAGGAAATTTATTGATTAAGAAAGATATACACAATTTCGTCCCTTTGTCTTACGGAAGGAGAATGAAGTTAATTTTGAATTTTTGAAAATAATCCATCCTGTACATTCTCATGAAAAAAAAGAAACGTTAAGGATCATTTTCCCAATCGAAACGAAGGTATAAAAGAAAAGAAAGGAGGGGGAGAAAGAGAAAAGTGTAATGTCGGTGTGCTAACCGCTGCATCCCTTAAAAGGATCCCCAGTGTAGTCCGTCTTGCAACTGCATACGAAGCTGCCAATCGTGTCGCTGCATTCAGCGTTCTCGCCGCAAGGGTTTGTCTCACATTCGTTCACGTCTGTTAATCAACACGTGGTTAATCGTGCAATTAATCTAACCTATCGAATCGTTACTTGAAATTGGGCTATTAAGAATCGTTATATATAAAATCAGGATTTAATAATAATTGGCGCTTAAAAAATTATTGCTCTCTCTTTCTTTTTTTTTTTTTTTTTTTTTCATTTTTAACAAGTTAGATGATGACTGACTTTCGCACAGTGTTAGTCCTTGACCGATGAAACCCTGGGGGCAGATACACTTGTACGATCCGGGCACGTTGATGCATCTCGCGTTCTCCGCGCATGCATCCGCTCGACTACACTCGTTCACGTCGATGCAACCGTGCGTCGGGTCCATCCGATAGCCTGCCTCACACCTGCACTCGAAACTACCCTCCGTGTTCACGCACACCGCATCCGTGCCGCATGGTGCGCCCTCCTCGCATTCGTTTATATCTGTTAGCGATGGTTAGTCGATCGTTTATATCGTTACTACGTTAAGATTCTATAAATGTTAACGCTAGCCGATAAAAGCTTGAATATCGAACGAATATTAATAACAATAGTTTAATAACCCTTAGGGCTCCAAGCGTTTGACTTTTCCCCTCCACGATCGAATCTTTCGCTTTTCGTCGTCTTTTTCTTTTTCTTTTCGAAATCTTTTTTACGATATAAAATGTAGTACTTTTTTTTTTTTTTTTAACTTAAAATTATATATTATATTTTCTACTATAAAATATTTTGGATTTTACGTTGATCCGACGACAGAGGCTGGTCACCTCGCTTGGACGTGAACTTTTTCAGAAAAGAAGCGTCGAGATTAGATCGTTTTAATTTACTATCGTTTCGAATTCTATGTACAAAGAAACGGTGGAGGTATAATACATCGAAAGAAGGGAGGAAAAACGGTTTCGGATAATTAGAAATCGAGTTACCCACCGTGACAGCCTATCCAAGGATCGCCGCTCATCCCTTCCGGGCAAGCGCAGCGGAAACTGCCATCCAGGTTTGTGCACTGGGCCGAACGGCCGCAAGGAGCGCGCAGGCATTCGTCGATGTCCACGCATTCCTCCTCTGGGTTGCCGTTATAACCCTCGGGACACTCGCATTTGTGCCCACCCGCCAAGTTGATGCACAGCGCGCCCCGTCCGCAGGCATCCACGTAATTGCACTCGTTGATATCGATACACTGTGGAAAATCGAGATACTTGGACCCAAACTTGAAGCGCAAAGTGAAATTATTCATTTTTGTTTTTAAAATTACGTGTTACGTAATTCCAATATTTATTTTTCGATCAACCAGAAGATAGTTTCAATCCTAAAGAATACAATTCTAACTTATATCGAGCTTATATAAATTTTTCGCAAATCTTTCTGCAAACCTTCCAAACGAATTTGACAATATTTCGATTTAAATTATTATACTTACAGAATATATATTATTATATTACAGATTCGTAAGGGTCTCCCGTAAAACCAGATATTTGATAGGCACAAATATAAAACAAATTTGAGAATATTTCTATTTAAATTATTATACTTACAGATTCGTAAGGCTCTCCCGTAAAACCAGGTTGACAGGCGCAAGTATAAAACGAATTTGACAATATTTATATTTTAATTATTATATTCATTTACAGATTCGTAAGGATCTCCCGTAAAACCAGATTGATTAAATTATTATACTTACAGATTCGTAAGGATCTGCCGTAAAAACAGGCGCAAGTGTAAAACGAATTTGACAAAATTTCTATTTAAATTATTATACTTACATATTAAGGGTCTCCTGTAAAACCAGGTTGACAGACGCAAGTATAAAACGAATTTGACAATATTTCTATTTAAATTATTATACTTACAGATTCGTAAGGATTTCCCGTAAAACTAGGTTGACAGGCACAAATATAAAACAAATTTGACAATATTTCTATGTAAATTATTATATCCATTTACAGATTCGTAAGGATCTCCCGTAAAACCAGATTGATTAAATTATTATACTTACAGATTCGTAAGGATCTGCCGTAAAAACAGGCGCAAGTGTAAAACGAATTTGACAAAATTTCTATTTAAATTATTATATTTACATATTAAGAATCTCCTGTAAAACCAGGTTGACAGACACAAGTGTAAAACGAATTTGACAATATTTCTATTTAAATTATTATACTTAGAGATTCGTAAGGGTCTCCCGTAAAACCAGGTTGATTAAATTATTATACTTACAGATTCGTAAGGGTCTCCCATAAAACCAGATATTTGACAGGCACAAATATAAAACAAATTTGAGAATATTTTTATTTAAATTGTTATACTTACAGATTCGTAAGGGTCTCCCGTAAAAACAGGCGCAAGTGTAAAACGAATTTAACAATATTTCTATTTAAATTATTATACTTACATATTAAGGGTCTCCTGTAAAATCAGGTTGACAGACGCAAGTGTAAAACGAATTTGACAATATTTCTATTTAAATTATTATACTTAGAGATTCGTAAGGGTCTCCCGTAAAACCAGATTGATTATATTATTATACTTACAGATTCGTAAGGGTCTCCCGTAAAACCAGGTTGACAGGCGCAAGTGTAATTCCCCGGGATATTGTTGCACATGGTATTGTCGCCGCAAGCGCCGGGTATGAGGCACTCGTTCACGTCCTCGCAGTGGACCTCGCCGTCGCCGATGTAGCCCGGTTTGCATTTGCACAGGAAGTTGGATGGAAGGTTGCAACACTCGGCGTTCTCGACGCATCTCGCGGCGAATACCGGGTTATCGCACTCGTTGATGTCTGCCGGCACGTGAACAGAACAGAGAAATAAAAGCATCCGGTAAACGATACGACTGGGCAGACGTCGTAAACCGACCGAGAGAAGAATGAACACGCGTACCTTCGCAATGGAAACCGTCGCCTTGGTAGCCGGGGAAACAGGAACATTGGAAGCTACCAAGAGTGTTGGTGCAATGCGCGAATATATCACAGGGCCGGTATTTGCACTCGTTCTCGTCTGAAACGTGTGTTTGCATTTTCGTAAGATACGAAAGGAATCGAGTGAAATCGAATCAATGATGAATAAATAAAGGAAATCGTGTTCTATCGAATACTACTTGTATTTTTATAGTCATATTCTACTTTTTAAAAAAAAATAATAATTCATCTATTTTTCTTCTCTATTCAAAAACGATGGAAAAGAACTTGTAATTACCTCGTATCTCGAGAAATTTATCTCTCTAATGAAGAGAAAAAGATTTCTCTTCTTTCTTTCTATACTATATATATATATATATATATATATATATATATATACGTTAAATCAAAGAAGAATAAGTTTCGAGAATTTCGCTTACCTGGTACCTGACAATTGCAACCACCGAAACCGTCGTTACAGTGGCACACGGAGCCAAGGCAGACGCCGTTCAGACACCTGGTCCCATCCTCCTTCGTGCAATCGTCTGAAAAGGGACGGAGAAAAAAAAAGGAGAGAAATAGGAAAAATCAATTAATCGATTCGACACTTGAAATCAATAAACGAAGCACCTTAGTCATCTCCTTCGCGGTTGGAAAAACATCGTGGTAAAAATCGCCGATTACGATGAGTAATTCGTTCCCCTTCCCGGCTTACGTAACGCGTAACATCATCCCGGCTTGATCTCTAACGCGGCGCGCATAATAATAAAAATCAATGTCGCCACCGCCGCCGCCGATTAATCGGCGGAGGTTCGCCAGTTCTCCTCCGCGTAATTGCCGTGACGAGGCGGTGACGCGCGTTTGCGATCGCGCTTGCGGTTTCGCGCGGGAAGGATCGGTGAAGCTTGGCGGGCGTGATCGGCGTCGAGTGGATGACGAGAGGAATGACGAAGCGACGGGGAGTTTCCATTCTTTTCTTAAACGAAAGAGGGTAAAAGGGGAAGGAAAGGGATTGTTTTCTCCCGTGGGAATTTCCGTGAAAGATGGGATGGAGCCTGGTACCTGTACACTTCAACCTGTCGCGTTGCTCGTCCGTGCCTTGGTAACAGTCGACGTGGTTGTCGCACAGTTTGGACAGTTCGAGGAGCTGCAGCACTTCCGTCGACTCGTTCACCTGGCACCCGAAGTAACCGTCCTCCAGGTTCAGGAAGAACACCTCTCTTCTTAGTCCGTGGCCGACTCCTCTCAGAGATTCGACCTGATAGATGCATTTTTCTTTTTTATTTACTTTTTTTTATTTTAGTTAGTTTAGTTGAAGTTAGAAGGGATGTCAACGTGGCGTTGGCGCGAGTTCGAGAATTCTCTTTGGAAGAAGGGAAAAAGAAAGAGACGTGGCTTTGTTATAACGCTTCGACCCGTTTCGCGCAATGCAACGTGTCGATCACGATGTAAAAAAAAAAATAAGATATCGCGTTAAATGTTTGCCAAATATTTTCATAAAAACTATTAACCGTCCTCCAGGTTCAGAATGAATACCTCTCTTCTTAATCCGTGGCCGACTCCTCTCAGAGATTCGACCTGATAGATGCATTTTTCTTTATTATTTACTTTTTTTTATTTTACTTAGTTTAGTTAAAGTTAGAAGGGATGGCGTTGACGCGAGTTCGAGAATTCTCTTTGGAAGAAGGGAAAAAGAAAGAGACGTGGCTTTGTTATAACGCTTCGACCCGTTTCGCGCAATGCAACGTGTCGATCACGAACGTAAAAAAAAAAAAAGAAGCGTTAAACGTTTCAAAAACTATTAAAAAGATAATAAAATAAAGAAATCAATTAAAATTCCATGGAGAGCGATTGCTTTTGATTGAAAATATTTTCGATGAAATTATCTAAGCGGTTCCACTTACCGGACACAGGAACAGAAGAAGTGCCCACGCCACAAACGGCCAAAGATGTTTCATCTTGGCTGAAACAGAAAATGAAATCAGTCGATCGACATCTGTCAACGCGGTAATTTTTCCACCTCAATAACGCGGAACATAATAGAATTCGATCAATTCGTTCACGATCAGGTCAAACACACCCGCGTGCTTTTTCAACGATTTCCTGGATTACGTTCGTTCAATTACATCATCCTCCGACGCGTCGCACAACGATCATCATTTTTCACGCAAGGATGAAATAAATAATTCTTTTCGCGCAAAATTTTGGTGGAAAGGAGAGGATGAAAAATTTCTATATTTTTTTTCTTTTTTTTTTTTTTTACGATAAATCGAAAAATTCAGGTGGAAGAGACTACTACGATCGTTCTCACCGGTAACACCGAAGGGAACCGATACGAGGGAACACCTGTTCGAGCCGTGTGTGTGTCGGCATTCGCGACCCCCTCACGAATAAACCCGAACCTAACTGTATCAACTTACGTTAGCCCTGGCTCTGACAACCTAATTTCCTGGTTACGTGGTGTTTTGAAATTTAAGAAGCCGTTTCTGAGCTGTCGAGTACGAGGATAACTTGGAGCAACCCGTTATGCAATACGCGACAACGAAATACAAGAATGAAGGAATAAGTAAAACATAACTAAAAACATTTTTCTTCTCTCTTTTACTAGGCTTTTACGAGGTTTAATAAGAAATATAAAGCTGAAGGAATAATTGGAATATGTACTTTTTTCTTTTTTTATATATTTTATAAAAGGAAGAGGATATTTTTATGCGGTTATAATTGTAAAAAAAAGAGTATTGCATGCCTCCGGTTTCAAACTGTGATACATTGGAACTGTGATACAATGGAAGATCCTATAGTTATTTTTATATATTATATGGAGAATCGTTCGTTTTTAATTCCGCTCACGATGCTCGCGAGGAAATTATACAATGCATCGGATCAATTGTCTAATATGGTGAAGAAGTTTAACGTGATTGATTAGCGCATATATATATATATTTAGAATATGGAGCGCGGGTAGAGTGAGTAATTTTGGGTTAATTGGTTTCCTTCGTGACTAAAGATCATCAGGTTTCGCTGCGTGTCTGATTATAGACATGCAAAGGAAATTTAACCTCCCTTCGAGCATCCACATCGCGTCTTTAAGCCACAAAGGACGAAATTTAACCATTAAACACCTTTGAATATATATCCCATCAGTCGAAAATGAGAGAAATACGAGTTTAAAGCGTAATATTAACCTCGGATCATTATCCTTGGATATTTAAGATAGTTAAGATAGTTTTGTAAGACAATAAAGATTTTATAGCGATACGAAATGGATTTTTCAGATAAAACTGAATTATTTATGAACGATTCAGAAACGTTTAAGAAATCTTGGAAATACTTTCAAAGCAGCAAGAAACATTTTAGACTTCAAAAATTTCTGAAATTCCTCAATCATTCCAAAAAAAGACCAGTAAATATTTCAGAAATCTTCGAAATTCCTTCCTCGATCGTTTCCGAAACATCAGTAAAATCATTTCAAAAATTTCTGAAATCTTCCTCGATTATTTCCAAAACGCCAATAAAGATTTCAGAAATCTTTTTCCAAATCTTTGTCCAAACAAACCCCAATAAAGATTTGATTACGACGGAAGCAGAGGTTTCAAAAACGATTCAAAAACGTTTCAAAAATCTTCAAAATTTTCCTCGATCCTGTTTCCAAAACATCGATAAAGATTTCAAGTTTCAAAAATCTTGCTCGATCGTTCCCAAAAAACCGGCAATAAAGATTTCAAGAAGTTTCAGAAAACCTCTCTCTTCCTCGATCATCGGTCGAGGCGGTAATAAAGATTTGATTGCGGCCTCACCGGAAGCGGAGTTTTCAGGGGACTGCGGTGCACGCGATTCGCGGAAGACGTCCTTTATGGCGAACGCGCAGAGCGGACGCATCGTACGCGAGCGTACTGCTCGCCACGTCGCACAATAAGTCAGGGCTGGCGATCAACCGCGCGGCGAAATGTTAACGACTGTACGTGCAGGGAGAAGGATTCACCACGAGGGGATGTGGGGAGGCGGGAAAAGAACCGAGAAATAGAGAGAGAGAGAGAGAGAGAGAGAGCTGTCGTGGAACGTCTCGAGCGAAAAAGAGAGGGACAATTAGGGGAACGAGAAGGAGGAACGCAGAAGGATGATGACCAGGAAAAACGAGCAGCAGAAGGAAACCGGGTGGCGGGAAAAAGGAGGAAGATCGTGAGGGAAAACGTTCGAGGAAGAACGAGAGAGAGAGAGAGAGAGAGAGAGAGAGGACGGTGATCACGAGGGGGACAAGAACGAAAGAACTAGCGAAGAGCGAAGAATAAAGAGGAAAGAGAGAGAGAGAGAGAGAGGAGATGGCCATTTGATTCCTCGTCTTGCGAGTTTTTTTATCCTTCCAACGATTTAGTCTTGATCTTGGTAATGATTCACCATGAATCGCATGAACTAGAAAGATTTCGTGAAAAAGATGCACAAGTCGAAGAATCGTGCCTATTTTTAATCCTGTATTTGTAATCCTTTTTTAACTATAAATACGATGAAATACGATGAATACGATGAAATAAAAATGTTTACACTTGAACTTGTAAGTACGAGACTCGGTTATAAAGATTATCGAGACGTTTATATTATATTTTCTTAACGTTGGTTTATTGCAATAATAGTTAAAAACTTTCGTTTCGTTCGTTTATTTAAATTCCTCTCGTAAAAGCGTATAAACAAGGATTTAGTATCGATACTATGTCAATAACATGGATGGAAAACACCTCCTAGGGGAGGGACGTGCACCTGTAACTCTTCCGCCCCTTTTTTGCTTGCATCTACCACAAGTGTCTTGCCTTCAACTCCAACCGACTGACTCGCTTTTGAACACAGCTGGCCCGCTGCGCTATCTCCACTCTTAATTTTCGTCACGGAAATTGGCCACCCTTCTTTTCGACCACCAATTGTAGATGCTTCGATACCGCTTCCGCAATTTCGTTTCGACGAACCGTTCGCGAACGTAAAACAGCGTGATGTAATACATTCGAATTTACTCTAGAATTTAATTTGATAAATCCGATCATTGTTACAATTCGATTGACCGACGTCTCTCTTTCAAGTGAGCAGAAAGTACGTAATGCAACTCGTACCGAGATCAGGATAACAATTTCGGTTAAGGTTAGAAATAGAGAATAATTTCTTCTCCGCTGGTTGGAATGGAACGGGCGAATCGTGGCATGCATCACTCTCACGCGCGTTCACTTTATGCAAATAGATCCGTGCACAAGTTTGTCGCGACGCTTGGTAAGGGTATCGCGATGAAATGTGTTACCGTGTCAATGATATGACGCGGTAGGCAGGCAGAAGGAAACGATGACAAAACCTATCAATTAATCGGCGGCGCATAAACACGCGACGACAAGCTTTTGCACGCGTGTGCACCTCTCGATAATACCCACGCACGTGCGTTGCGACATTGCGGAGAGAAGAGAGAACGGGTTGATGCAGAATTCGAACAAGTCTTCTTTTCTTTTCTTCTTCTTCCTCCCCTTCCAATTTCCAACGTCGTTAAATAAACGACGAGATCCTGAGAGATGAAAGAACCTCGAAATTTTGTATCACGATTTCCATTTTTTTTTTTTTTTCCATTTGCATATAATCGTGATGATAATCGGGCAAATTGATTTCAAACCTGTGCCTTCGAGATCCCTCTCGATGATTTAACAAATTGATTTAATTATCGTGCGTCGAATCTGTTTGTGAATGAATTTTTTTTTTTTTTTTTTTCATAGACGAATCGCCCACGTTTCGTTCCCATTTCTCGGCTTCAAGCCGAGTCGTGAAAGTGTTTAGATACGATACAATACGTGTGTAGCGTAGTCTCGGACAGCTTGTACTTTATTCTTTTTCTTTTTATATGTTTTTTTTTTTTTTTTGGATATGGAGATCGACCTACGTTAAAGAGAAATTTCTTGAATTTCTTTCAATCTCGGTATAGAAATTATAAGAACGTGTTTTAACGAATTTTTTTTTTATTTTTTTTATTATGCATAAGTTATTATATGCTCAGTTAATAAACCTTCGACTATAATGAATAATTCATCGAGATTAAAATATAAATTAGCTTCCCGTCTGTTTAAAAACATGGTTTTTCTAGGCAGGCGTAAGTAGTTTTCAGAAATACTTTGTGCGTAAATAGAAATACTTTGAAGTCGAGTTATCCAACAATTATATTCGTTCGATGATATTCTGAGCTTTCGATCAAAACTGTTTAATATCGTGCTGTTATATTTGTTTATTTATTATTATTATTTGTTCAAGTGGGGATGGTGTGAGCGAGAAATGAATATTTATCGATCGGTGTGCCATTTAACGGTGAAAAAGTGACACAGCGGCTCTCTCTCGCCTTGGTCACGCGTATTTGTTGCAAAATCGATTCGATCGGTCCGCGTGTGGAAAGAAGAAATGCAAGCGAAATCTTGTCGGCCGACACCGATTCGAAACGAGGTAACGGTGAACCGTGAAAAGAGATGCTTGAGTTTAGAATTCTAGAATTCACCGAATTGGATATATCGCATCGGTAAACGAAACTCGTAAATTCAATTAATATTTTCCATTCCGCGGAACAGAGCCGCGTATTTTTCATTTTCACCTTTCTCTAATTCTGAATTCTTCACATTTTTTTTTTCATCGAATTAAATTCCAATATTCGCACGAAAGTATTATTAAATAATATAATATATATATATATATATCATACTTGGATTAATTAGTATTACGAATTTTAAATATTTTTTTTTTAATCATATATCAATTAATATCTCATCGTAAACGATCCATTAATACCGTATAATCTTTAATGAAATAAAAATTATTATATCGATTATGCGTACAATAATCTAATTTCAATTTCACTCAGATCAGTAGAATTAAATCAAAGAGTTTATAAATAGATATTTCTCTCTTGTCTCGAATTCTCTTAATGTTCTTTTAAATGATCGTTAACCAATTAAAATA